GAGTTTAAAAGACCATTTCGATGAAAGACTATATGAGCTACGGAAAGAGCTTTTTGAGAAGGAAATTCAAGGTGGGAAAAACGCAAATTAATGGCTCAGTTCAGTTTTTGGGTCAGCAGATTATAAAGTTATATAATACTCGCAATTATTGATAACTTATGTTTATTGTTAAGACATTAAGGTGAGGCATATATAACTGCAGGTTTAAGGAAGACTTATAATAGTCCAACTATGGATGAGGAGAGAACAAAAGTGCACACGTTCCATTCAAAAGATGGAAAGACAAAGGTAATAAAAATTTTCCATTTCTCTAACGAATGGGTGCTACGCTTCTTTGGAATACACAGTGTTGCACGTATAACATGTTTGTGTTCCCCTATTACTATAAATAGGCAACCCTTTTCGGAGGAAAGGCAGATCCTATGGCCATAACAAATGAAGTATCAAATGAAAACCATCAACATTTTACAGATTTAATTTACGGACCAACCAAAGTAAGTGTGTATAGACGTAGTTTAAGCATTTAACCATAGTACAATAAGAACACGGGAAGTTGAATTGTTATAGATGCAGGACCCTAGGCAGAGTTATGGGGGGAGTTGTGCTTTCTTCCAGACGCGTGATAACCCCGAGAAGGAAATGGCAGCCGCAGTTGAAGGGAATGAAGCCAATTTTGATGTCAGCGGGCGAGTAAAGGACAAAGTAAGTTCAGAGCATAACAATAGATATTTCTAACCGATTARTAAAATTAATTTTARGCTAACTCTAATAAATAATTTTATCAGTAAAATCTACAGCCTTACGTATGTCCGTTTCAGGATGGAGTTGATATTGTGAACTTCAACGAACCTTGTTTTAGTATGCCATCATTTTCTATTGGCCTAACCCAAATGGCGGCCGCAGAATCTGAATCATGCCTTGTAAGTGAAATACATATTCTGTTTTAATATATGCTATTCARGACGCTTTACATATGTAGTCGGATACTTTATAAATTGTGGTTGTTCTATTTAGTACARTTATGACATGTTTKTCTATTTTTTACCTTTATRTGTAGGGAACAACAAGAGAAGAGGCAACAATCCCTACAGATATTGARGCCCCATCATTCAAGATTGGTCTTACTCAACTTGAAACAGAATCATTGTCTGATGGAAATGCAAATGTTAGTTGACATTTCAAATTGTAAAATTCTGTTCTAATTCATTTATACGAGTGATAGAAACCGCATGCTCTATGTGAAACATATAGGTTCTGGTTGCATCAGTTGATATCTCAAAGACCTCTGTCCATGAAGGGGGGATTGATCCATCAATTGGGCTAGTACCAATAGTTGGCGCAGATGATGTTGACTGTGATCCGGAAGATTACATTCCAATAGCTAGGCGTCTTATAAAAAGGTCACGTAAAAAGGCTATAAAATTGGGCCCACCTGGTGAAGCAAGTACAAAACCTCTAGTCAAGCCATCTGTGGGGAAACCACAACCTGCAACAGAAAAAT